TCAAAAAGAGGTATTGAGAGGATGGAAAGCTGCTGTGTTTGTGGCTGTGGCTCCAGCCCAAACCTGGGGTCATGCCCAGAGCTGTAGTTGCAACTGCTGTCTGTCCCTCTACTGCCTCTGCCCCCATTGCCCTTGTCCCCACAGCTTCTGCCCTGCTCCTGGAGCCTCAGGCTCCCTGCCTCCACTTCACTCACCCTCACCCCACCACTCACGTCAGTCCTGGCTGGAGCCAGGGCCAGAGCTGCCACGCAGCTACAGCTGCTACTGGGCTGGGTAGGGGCTCCATGCTCTTTGCTCCAGGCTCAAGCAGGGCCGAAGATGGGAAGGTGAGGCAGGTGATAGGAGGCAGATGCTGCAGGAAGGGAGATAGGAGGACTGAAGCTACGAGAGTGGCAGATGTGGCAGTGGGGGCAGGAAGGAGGGAGGTAAGTGGTAGGAGAGAGGTGGCAGAGGGCAAATTGCAAAGGGTCAACAAAAGTGGGGGGGCAAGCTGCCTGACCCTCTCCCCACTGTCCCCACAGGCTGCTTCTACTATTTGCACCCTCCTACTGCCTACTCGCTAACTGCCCCTGCCTGTCCCCCTACTGCCTCCCCCACCGCCACTGCTTTTCCTGCTGCAGTGGTTGGAGGGCACGGATTTAAGATGCTGCTCCAATGATTCAATTCTATACATGGGAAATTATAACAAATTTATACAATTTCAATATTTGGAATACAATTCTTCAGGGCTTGTCTTAAATTCAGGGTCATCTTCATTTTGGGTAAATATGGTAAATAAAATAAAACCAAATTATAGGGAATTATAAGACTTTTCAATGTCATATTATAATTATTGTTATTTAATTTATATTGATGCACTGCCCAAGGACAATAAACTGGAATTGGGCTAGGTGTAGTATATAGAACAAATCATAACTGATTCTCCTTCAGCTTTTGTGATAGATTTATGCCTTAAGGACAAGGCCTTAAACTTTAGGTTTCATAATTATGACCAGAGTAGTTTGCTATCCTCATTAAAAAAAAAAGATTGAGTGAATGATACAGCAGTCCCACAAAGAATCAACCATTATTAGTTTTTATTATTTATACACTAATGTATCTTGTACAGATTTATAAAGTGATTTAAAACAGTCCCCAACATCTTCCAGACTTAATATCAACATTCATCTGCCAAAATGCTTACTGGACTGAGTTCAGTGACATCCCATTCAAGATATTCTGCAACATGCATCATTTGAGTTATGATATTTTCCAGCTCCTGGGCAGTAAAAAAGAAACAAAGACATTTTAATGCAATATTATAACTAAGTCTTTTGTAGGTCACTTTACAATTCAGATACCTATTTGATAATTATGCTGACAGAAACTAACAGTGTATTAGAGTGATTTTTTTCTGGGTGTGAACATATGAAATGTATACTTTAACAAACCAATCATTTAAATAGAAGTCATTAAAGTGTGTGGTAGAGATACTTACGCAATCATTAATTATATGCCTAACATTTGATCATCAGTAGAAGTGCAGAGCTATATGTGAGCATGGAGCCGATTAGTCCAGCAGCCTCCCCATGTCTTGTGTATCAGCTTTCCTGCACTTCAAAATTGTGGTGGGGCACTTGAACTAAAGCTCATTCACCACCTTTTTGAAGTGCAGAGATGCTAATATAAGAGGCACTGTGGCACTTTAATTAAAGTGCTGCCCCTCCCCCCACCTCCAGAGCATATGTAAAAGCGGCCCAAGCTTTCACCTAAATAATACTCTAAAGGGTACAGCATTCTCCCCCAAAAATTTCTAGACTGCAGCTATAAAATGCAGTGGGTAGAGGTACCCCTCCACTTCTCTTGAAACTAGGCTTTCAGCAATCAAAAGTACAAGAGAAAACATGTTTTTGAATCATAAAGATTAGGAAATTTCATTAGATGAAGGGGTACTTGAGTTCCAGTCCTTGTTACCATGTTTATTTCCATTTTTTAACCAATGACAGTCTAATGTAAAATGTGAAAGAGCCCCGGAAACAAGGCTCAGAATGGAATTGCTATTCCTACAATTTCCTACTACAGAAGCAGCCTCTCATAAGTATGATAAATCAATATACTCTCCAGCTTTTTTTGTTTGCTTAGGTTTCTTTTGCTTGTAAAAGTTCATGAGAACACAGGCACAGAAAATCTTGTAGATAAATGAAGTCAGTTAATTCATGGATAGCCTTCAATTGATTAGCACTTAAAATGTTGATTTTAGAAAGTTACTTTATTAACTCAGTATACTGTCATAATTAATATTTTTATTGAAATCCAGCCTTTAAGATGTGATTTTGAGATGATAATTTGCAATGGGTAACATTTTACTCAGACAGAATTTCTTTATTTTAATTAAAAGTAAAGCTAAATTGCCTAGTGCATACTGTCCTCTCCATCAGCAATAGGCACCCTCATTTCTTCTGTCATTTGGACCTGCACATATTGCTGATTTTTCTATAATTCAAATGAGTGGCACATTTAAATTGGTCCTCTCATTTGAATGATATTAACATAGTATTCTCCAACTAGAAAACTTCTAATTTCAGGCTACCAGCAAAACATCTGAAAAGGTAAGTGACATAGAATACAGTGCAGTTAAAAATGCAGCTGCAGAGAAGATACTATAGTTTGTGGGTGCAAATACTAGATGGATCCTCTCCTCATGAGCTATATGGAGGACAAGGACCAATGCACAACAGATCCACGTTCTGCACTCTTAGAGTGCATCCAGATGGGCATGCATGTGCCTCTTGCAGAGTCTTAAAGCCCTTTGAGACGCTATAAGAGGCACATGTGGGAACGTAAAAAATGGGCTCCATGCCAGTAAGTAGGAGCTGGGGGCAGGGCTGGAGACCCCCGCTGGCCCCATCCCCTGCCCACTCCCCAAGCCCCCCAAATCGCTACCCCACCCAATCACATCCCCCACCTGCCCTCCAAGCCATCCTGATCACTGCCCTGCCTGGTCCCATCCCCCACCAGTTCCTGCAGCACCCACATTGCTGCCCCACTTGGCCTCAGCTTCCTGGCAATTAAAAAAAAGTCCTGCACTCACCGGCAGTAGCAGCTGCCGTTGGGGTCACTGAGGCCTCCTGGCAGAGCTCCCCCACACAACATGAGACAGCGGAAACCAGCCTGGGCCACCTGGCACCCGCACTGCCGCTGCTTCACCGCGTGGGTGCAGACAGGGTCAGCAGGGTGCCACACAGCTCTGTGCATGGTCAAGCAGTGGGGCCGCTCAGGCTGAGTGGTGCTGGGTCCCAGGTGACAGCTCCAGTGGCCTCAACTGCCCAACAGTGCATGGAGCAATGCAGCGCCCTGCCGACCCGGGCCACACCCACATGATGGGGCAGTGCAGGTGCTAGGCGGTGGGTCCCACTGCCCCATACTGTGGGCAAGGGGACTCTGCCAGGAGGCCCCAGTGACCCCAACAACCTCCGCTACTGCCAGTGAACACAGGGCCTCTTTTTTTTTT